ATATATCCCTTTAAGAAAAACGAACATTAGGTCGATTCCCACTTTTCTAAAATCCCTTAAGAAAAGTGTCAAGAAGCTTTATAATAAATATCAATTAACCAAATTGCCAAATGACTTCTCTGAATATAAAGAAAGCTTAAAAAGTTTCCGTAGCGCCATTCATAATTACTTTTTAAATAAAGAAGAGCAACTTTTAAATATTGATAGAAATTCTTTCTGGACCTATATCAAAAGAAAATTTGCAAATCCACGTAAACAATTAATTCTGCAACATAATGATAATGTGATCACCTCTGATATTGATACTGAAAATGTATTTAATCAGTATTTTTCCAGTGCATTTGTTGAGGATGATACTCATGCTTCTTGTTTTAAATAGAATTTGTTGCACTTCTCTCTGCGAGGTTGAAATAACACTACTGGATGTTTATGATGCTTTAAATAGACTTAAGCCGTCCATTTCAGCTGGTCCCGATAGTATTCCACAAATAATTTATAAAAAATGCGCAGTCTCTCTGAGTCTTCTCCTATTTCTAATTTATAAGGATATTATGAAATCTGGCTTTAATCCCAAAATTTTTAAGTTGTCTCATATAATTCCCATTCAAAAAGGAAGCACCTATGACGCTTTTAATTACAGACGTATTAGCTTAAAATGTGTTGGCAGCAAGGTACTTGAAAGGTTGATTTGCAACAAATTGCTTACTTATCTTGATACCAATAATTTCTTCTTATCAGCATGGCTTTTGTACAAAAAAATCTACTTCTTCACAAATATTGGCAAATCTCTCTGATTGGTCAGCATCAATTGACAATGGAAAAATAGTATCAGTTACCTAGATTTGGCTAAGGCTTTTGATACTGTTTCTCATACCAAATTATTGGTCACTCTTAATAGTTATGGCATAACAGGGGACCTCTATAACTGGGTTTCAGATTACATAAAAGATCGTTACCAGGCTGTATATGTTATTGTATATGTTAACAATACTCTTTCTGACATGACACCTGTTAAATCAGACGTTCCCCAAGGCAGTTGTATTGCACCATTGCTATTTCTATTATATATAAATGATACCACCACAGTGGTAATAAATTCTACTATTTACCTTTGTGCTGATGATTGCAAAATTTATTATTCTCATGGTAGAACGGATAGCCTATCTCCACTGCAGGAAGACCTCAACAGAATAGCTGACTGGCTATATGACAGGCAAATTACCCTTTCCTTTCAAAAATGCAAGGTACTTGTATATGCAAGGTAGTGTTCTTCACATCAATCCTAAAGGATTCGATCTTCCTAACCTTTTTATAAATGGTAATTTAATCAATAGAATCTCACACATCTCTGATCTTGGAATAATCATGGATGAAAATCTCGATTTCGATCTTCACTGCAGAACCATAGTAAAGAAATCCTCAAGGATACTAAATTTTATTTTTCGTTCGTTTAAGAACAAAACTGAAAGTTTTCTTATCAAACTATACAAAGCATTCGTTCGGCCTCTTCTTGACTACAATACTACATGTTACTCCCCTAGACATCGCAAAACAGGTAAAATAATCGAAGGACTCCAAAAATATTTTCTAAGACGCCTCTCTCCTAATAAAAATTATAATTTTAATTATAAAAGAACACTTCTACAACATAACATGGATTCTTTCTCAGTTCGTAGAATTAAACAAGATTTAATTTACACATATAAGATTCTATATGGTTATGTTAAACTAGATTGCTCGAAATATTATAACTTTAAATATTAATTTTAAATATTTTTAAATATTTTTAATATATATTAAAAATATTATAAATTTGAATCCATCAAGAACTAATGGCTTAAAATTACCTTGCATATACTAAAACCTATATGCAAAACTAAACTAAGGACTCATGATTTCTTTATTCGTACTATTAACGACTGGAAGAAATTACCGAACGATGTAGCTTGTGCCTCATCCTTAGCTGTCTTTAGAAAAAGACTAGATAATATCATTTACGATATTATTTAAAAACAAAAAAAAAAGAGAAGAGTATACACCAGGCAAGAACTGCAGGAAGTGAGAAATCTCGATTTTATCTTCAGGTTATATGTTACTTCGAATTGTACAATATTATAATGGTATGTAATTTCCTCTTTAATTGCTAATTTTTGTCATATTGTTTTATATTAATTTTGTTTATGTTATATTTTTTTTTCTTTTTTTTCTGTTTTCTTTTTCTGTTATCTTAATTGTTATTATTAATACAAGTACATGGCGTTGTCGCCCTGCTTGGCTGGTTATCAATAAATAAATAAATAAATAAGATATTGTGCTCAAAGTGAAAAACTTGATGTCTTGTCTTCATTAATTTTTACCGTAAAAAATGAAATGATGATGAATATCACTCACCGGCAACAATTTATTATTGAGATAAACTTTAACACCGCGAGTTGAACCAGCAATATCATATGCTCTTCTCGACATCAATGCAATAATATCGTCATCCAATACACTCATTTTAAACTTTTCCAGGTCTGGCGAGAATATCACACGAGTAAAATCTTCAGTCGTTGCTTTGCTTATTGCAGCGTCTTTATCCTTTGTCATATTGTTAATCCAAGTCTAAAAAATAATTCAATAAAATTGATTTAAAAAATGGGATCTATTCATTTTTTTGGAAGAAAATGAAAAATGCTCTGAAAAATCCTACCGAATTTTAGAAACCAAATAAAAAATTCAATTATAAATACCTGTTTGAATGTTTTTCCATATTCTTTAGAAGATGTTTCAACAGTGAATCTCTTACTAAATATATTACATAATTTCGCACCATATCCATTTCGTCCACCTTATCACAGAAATGTTATAAATTTTACAAAAAATATAAAATCTTATATCACCATAATTTTGATATTTCTTAATGACAAATAATCTTCAATTGAAAAAACATTTTTTTTTAAAAAAATCTCAAAGTTACAAATACCATTAAAAAATTATAAAAATAATACCTGTCACTTTGCGATCACTATCATTGTAATTGGAAGATGTTAACAATGTGCCGAAAATAAGCTCTGGCACATACATTTGTTCAACTTTGTGAAGAACGACAGGAATACCTTTTCCATTATTGAAAATGGTGATTTCATTTTTTTCTCTGCAAGTATTGATATATTAAAATGTATATTTTTCGGCTCCTGATCGAGAATTTCCTTCTCTTTCTTTTTAAAACACAACAATTCCAGTTTTGCATATTGCATAGTTAATGATTATGTAAAATAGAAACTATCAAAACAAAGCACTTGAAAGTTCCCTGCGTCAGAAGAACTATTTACTTATATTGACCAAAAAAAACTTGAAAGGACACAAATATCAAAAAAAAACTCCCAAAATCCATTGATAAAACTGAAAAAAAAATCGGGATTAAGATGTCTTGACAAGACTAAGGAAATTAAAAAAAATTGTGTTAAGCTTACTTATTTATTGCGATCTTTATCAGATTCATTTTAGGATCTCTTTGCTTATTATCAGCCGCATTTACTAAAATTTCATCAAATATTTTGTATAAACCAGGAACATAAGATAATTCGCGTTGGACAATTCGCTCTTCTTCTTCATCATATGCCCACATCAACTGAAAAGCCACATTGTGAGCTATATAATAATATCATTAATAAAAAGATCGTGAAGAAAATGCTTACCGATTTATCAGTGAATTCTATAGAACCAATATACGTGTCGGGACGTAATAAAATATGTTCCAGCTGACTTTTCTTCTGATAAATTTCCTCAATGCTTAGCCTTTTAGTTGACTTATCAATGTTAGTAAAAACTTTCATTGGGTCTTCTTTATTTATCTTATTAGAATTATCGTTATCCCCTGAAATCAAAACTTTTTAGCAACCAATTACGAAAAATATGAAAAAAGTGAAATAAAATGAAGTAAATCTAAGGAAAACTCTTCCCCTATATTAGCAGCAGCTGGCGAGAGACATAAGCGATTCAGAAATGGAAAACTAGAAAATTACAAATGCGCAATAGGCAATATGCATTGCTACAAAATACTGGTCAGAGAATAAATGTAAATGTGAGAAATGAGTCGACAAAACTTACCGTTCAGAATCGATTCTCCGCCGACCTTATTTGCAGTTTTTTTCATCTTTTTTGGTGCGATTTTAACTGGTGGTTCATCAACAAACTAAATTTATACGTAATCAATCACGAATCAATCTCGAATGCCTAACAAACACAACCTTAAGGAAATAACGGAAATCATATGAAAAAGAAAAACAACCGAAATATCTGAATCGCTGCTCATTTTTTATAGGAATTTTCGACTTCGTTCGAAATTCGTTTACCTCAAAAGAAGATAATTTAAATTCGAAACTATTAATTAAGACTTAATTTAAATTAAAGTATTTTAAAGAACAATTCAATTCAAATTTAGATATTAATTAAGTTATCAAAGTGAATTGGATTTCAGTTTGGCCACAAATATGATTTAAAACAAAAAATACTCGAAACACTCTTATCGTCGCACTTATTAAATCATCTGATAATTAATAGTTATGCGGTCGTAAATCATCAAACCATAAGTCACAAAGAGGGAAAAAACCAATAACTACAACAGTTGGGCCTGGAACGATTTAAAACACGACCTAAACCTCCCCACTCGGCCCAACCATCCCCCCTCGTAACGAATCAATCCATTTCGCTTCTCCAGCCACTTGAAGAACTCATACGCGCCAAATTGTTGCCGCTGTTTTACGGCCCAGGACATTGTGTTCTAAAAGGCAGTCTCAGTACTTTGTGCATCCACCGGCTAAATTGACACTTCATGTTGTCTAATAAACAAGCTTTGGTTTCGAATTGTGATATTATTAAATACATTGAAGAAAAGTCATTTTCTTAGCTCTTGTGGGTGGTAAGGATTATCCTCAACCTCGGATCCTACAACAGAGGCGTGGGTGGTTGAGGCTTTTTAGCTTCTTAGGAGTGCGTTCTTCTGGACAGAGATTTCTGATGTTATTCCTGGAATCTGCCGAAGCCACTTTTCTACTTGAGCATTTGTTTATCTCTCCACATAGAGAAGTCCCATAGAATCTTCGCAGAAACTGATGTGCCTTTGCTGCTGCTATGATCAACCTCACTTAATTTTATCTTTTAATTCAGGTTTTTCGAGGCTTTTTAAGATTTTTCCAGCATCTTTATCTTTCGATTATCTTTTATCATTTATCTTTCGATGGTGTGTCACATGGTGGTTTTGACTTTTGTTTTTCCATGGACTTTTTGCACTGTCTGTAGATACTTCTCTCAGCAGTTTATCCTTTATTACCATCTTGCTGATATATTCCTGAATGTTTCTGGTTTCGTTCAAGACAGTAGCTTTCACTCACCTCTCACCAGGCCCTATCCACCTTTTTTCCTGCTGGTGTACAGCTTTATTAGACTTGGGGTAGAAATTTCTATGCATGGCTTAGATCTTCCCAAGACCACATAGGAGATTTTTCAGAAAATCGTGGAGAATAGTAGTACGAATCCTGTGGGATTTCTCCATGCAGACAAATAAAGAAGGCCAACAAGATATCGTGAAAGTAGATTAGAATTAAGATATTGGTGGAAGATATAGGAATAATAAATAACAGAAACCGCAGGAGGAAGAAATGCGAAAAATGCCAAGGACTGGAAGAGCTAGGAATGTGGAAAATATAGGACAAAGTTTCCAGGGATTATTGGAGCACCATGAACTGTGGTCTCTAAACTAGAAAAGTGCCTTTAATAAGTGGCTAAATTCTAGGAACAATATTGGAGATCTTTGCCCAGAAGAGAATATTGCTGGAAACAATTAAGAACACCAAATTTTCCAGGCCTATGGTAGTGGAATGGATGGTCCTTACCACTCACAGGAAGTACGGGAGGGATTTTTTAATATGTAGTACTGGTTAGTTTTTATTTACAGTATTCTGAATGTCGACACTGCTTATTACATCATTCCAACGATGCAAAGAATATTTTTTGTAAATCTTATCGTACTAAATTCGAGCTTTATTAATCTTAGCAAAAAAGATTTCAAACCTACCTACATTTGAGGGTAACTTCTAAATAGATTTTAACATTCCAGAGGATCATTTATCTTTCTGCTGTTAAGGTCAAAATTTAACTTTTCGTCAATAATTAAACTAGATTTTTATTAATATAATCAAGAAGAACATCGTCACTGAATATAGGAGATTAATCACAGGATTTTAACTTATATATACACGTATAAGTTATATACAATTGAGACTTATTTACAATTGAGACGGCCTATCCACGATCAACCGATAAGGACCAATCATTAAAATTATCAAGAAGCCGAATATAGCACCGATTTCTGTAGAAACCTTGTGGATAAAAAAAATTAAGTTATTCACTTCCAGTTTGTTGCCCAACTTTTGTAAATTCTAAAATTCCAAAATTGCATATATAAGATTCATAGGACGATAATTAAAAGGATTGGATATATTACCTTTTTAATAAATATGAGCAATGCAATGTAATTTCCACGGTTTAAGACTTTGGTCATAATTTAATACATCTCTACAAATTAAATGAAAAGGTAATATTAGAGAAGCCCATTTTTATAGTTTTCGGCTATTACAAATAGAGGTTGGTATAACTTAGCATAATAAACAAACTTCAACGACATTCAAAGCAGTAGAACATTCCGTATGACTCAAATGGTTATCAAAATTATCATTTAAATTTACTGAATTTAGCAACAGCACGTTAACATTTGCATAAACTACACCAACATTCGATTTATTCGATCATTTGTATTTTTCAACAAAAATGAAGATTCACATTTTTACATTTAGAAATTTCTAAGAAGTGCTTTTTAAGAGTTAAAAGAAATGATAGGAAAGTGTAGATTTGTATATTTTTTTATGCATTTAAATTATATCTATCCAGATTTTTTAACTCCCTTTTATAACATTTTCAAAAATTTAGGAATTTTCTTATCATTTTTCTTGAGCAGTGGGGTTAAAATTCCCAGTTGTTTTCTCGCGAAAGAGTGTCATCTTAGTAGTCATCGGAATCAGACAAGCCAATGCACGCTGTTAGAAGATGGCAACGATGAAATTAAAAACGGAAAAATTGAGACTCCTGCAGGCGAAGTTTCTGAACTATATAACTCGAAGCGCTTAATCGCTTATAAAGATTAATAAGACAAATTTTGACTCTTTAAAAATCCTTTTATTGTGATTACTGTTCCGAAATTTGGTTATTGACCAGATAGTGTAGAAATAAGATGGCTTAGTGGATTGTTACTCAATTCGTAGTGCCGATACTATTCCCAGCAGAAGTGAACCTGTCCAAAAATCCTGGTGATGCTGGCGACTCACCTATATTTCTATCGCCAAGGGCCTCCTTGTACATTTTTCTAATGCGACAAGCCAGAGGAGCGAGTTTAACTGGTAATGGTGAAGACTTTTAAAAAAAAAAAGTGTAGGCTTGACCTATACTCTAAAAAGAATTTGAGGCCATATTTAAACAATCGGAAATACTTTACATGAACTTTCTTCCATACCTTAAGTCCAGTATAGCAGAATATCTTTAAGGTGAGCAATTTGGTGATTAACAAATGCTTAAAGATGCATTTGGCTTCTTTCCTTATCGCCATTCTTGGGAAGTATTTTTCACGAATTCATTAATTTGGCGAGAAAAAACTAATATAGAGATAAGTTTTTATCGTTTCTCGACAAATCCATTTTCATTGTGATTTCCCCAAGGAAAGCATTTATTTTCTTATAAGATTTAAATTATTTTCAGTGTTTCTTCACGCTTCGCTTTCATGCGGATTAATCATCTGGCGAAATGCAGAAATTTTGGAAATTTTTCTAATATGATTGTAATCCAAACAGTTCGAGCAAATTTTTATACAAATAATATGTTATATATATCTGAAATATGTATATATATATATATATATATATAAATTTTTTTAAATGACTCAAGAAAATTTTGTAGAAATTAAGTTAACTGTATATACATATGTATTAATTATGTATTTAATTGTTTATTCCTTAGAAAAATTGGTAAGATAAATTCAAGTAATTTATGACAAGTATTTCCATATATATAAAAAAAATTAGCTGAAATATGAGAAAATAAGTTAGCATTCATCAAACCTATTATCAATCAAACCCATTAAACCTTCTAATCAAACCCATTCCACTGGCTATTAGCAGGATGAAATGGCTTTAGCAAAAGAATCACTAAGAGATGAAAGTGATAATAAGGTTAAAAGCAAGTAGCGCATAAGACCTCTCCATTGCTATCAGGCCAGTGTATACCAAGACATAATTCTAAATCTGTATCAATTGCGTGCCTCTTGAAATGCTAATCCAGGTAATACATAAATCTCTCTTTTTCTCATCAATTAAATTGGTTCAAACGTAAAAATTTTTGATTAAATAATTTTTGATTAAATATTTCTATAACCATTCAGCGCTAAACTTTCTCACAAACTTTCGGTATAAAGGTCCATTTCTCTTCGATGTATGAAAAATCCATTTTTAATTTATCTTCTGCTAGCAGCGCGTGAACCAATAAGATGAGACGTGATTTATTTATTTTTCATTATTCTTTTAGAATAAAATAGAGACGATTTGTGATTTGTATGCTGCCGATTAAAATAAAAAATAGAATACCCATAAAATGTCCAATTGCCCGTCGACATCCTAAGTTATATCTTGTGAAGTTCAGGGAAATTTAAACGGCTGAGTAAAAATATTAATAAATAAAGCTCTTTTATCCTCGAAAAATTCGATTTTACTCCTGCAAAAGAATATTATCACATTGTTTAAAATCGAAAGAACCTGATGATTAAACATAAAAAATGTTACTGAAGACTTGAAGACGTTTCCGCTTTTCATTTCTCCCAATATTATTTTAAATTAAAAAATTAAAATTAAATTAAATTAAATGGAATTTTCGAAATTTTTTGTTTTTTTTCAAAAACTTTACAAAAATTGCATTTTCTAATGAATCTCGTGATAATGCTTTTGTATTATATCATTAAGATAAAATAAAAGATAAGTCTTGGTCCCACAGGAAATTATGCGAAATAATAGGGTATGACGCTCAAGAATAGGGCTTACCGAGCTCAAAATACTCAGTTTAGTTGTAAAAAACAAAAAATGAAATGGGTGCATCAGAGAAATGATGACTTGATGGAGATTAGGGGAAAAGAAATGGACGGGTAACTGACCTTGGCTTGGCACTGCAATTCGGTCGTGAACAATCTTTTTCGTCAATCACTAATACTATTTGACATCGAAAATATATACTTGATTTTTGTAGTCGTATTTTATTTACTTTAGTTTTCCATGTAACTTTCAACTATAAACATTCTTGTAATATAATAAGATTTTCTCGCTGAAGTAAAGATTTTAAAATTTTAAACTTTTCAAAAATAAAGGACTGCTTTGCATTTTGTAAGAAATCAAATTTAACTTTTTCATTATAATCAAGTTCAGCCTGGATTGTATCATTTATCATCAAACATCCATGCTCATCGATCAACTGTTGTCGAGAATCGTTAACTATCATGAAGCAATTTCTTACGATAAAGCACAAATTGTCAATAGCTTTAATTCCACATGTCCACACATGTTTTAATAATTGATCAGTGTTTGCGATATTTTTGCTTTCGTGACCTTGCACTTTATACTTACAATGCGGTACTGCAATTAGTCGGATTCGGATTTTGTGAATCTAACAAATTAAGAATAAAACAAATATTGTAAAAAATCAGAAATATTAAAATAAAACTTTTGGAATTTTTTCTGGAATAAAGCAAAAGCAAAATTAACCATTTTCTGGAAGTGGCAACGCTAACGACGTTTTGAAATTTTTTACTTTTCTTTTTGATCTTTCATAAAAGCATCGCAGTAAATATAAGTATTCCATTAATACCTCTTTTTCATTAGAAGTTATTAACACGGACGATTCAAACATTAAAGCAGCTCGACTGATGAACCTTAATAATTTTATTTTCCATCTACAAAAATAAAAATGAAAATAGAAATTTTTTTATAAAACTGGATTTTGATGTTGGCTAAGTGAAAGTGAAAAAAATCCAGCATTCTCAAAAGTTCTAAGATATAAATAATTTTCAGCCGGAATTCTTGAAAGAACTCTTATCGTCAGTGATAAGCAAATTTTTATTAAAACTAGAGTTACAACAATAAATAACAACAGATTAAAGGGATTCCTACACGGTTTTTTTACAAATTTACCGCATTCGATTAAGTCGACAATCGTGATGAGGTATGAGTAACTCGATTTGATTATTCGTTATCAATGTTTGATAACAATTTGGATTTGGCACAAATTGAACTGTTACATTACCATTAAAAGTTGTTTTAGTCTTCCATTTCGCGTAGATTGCATCAGCTGAACAACTATAAATATTTCGTAATAAATAATTTTTATTGTCAAAAAGCAGTCGAATTATGATAATCTAAACAATATACCAATAGTTCATAAAACTTTAATGTTATTATTTATAAGAGTTTGGAGAATTACAGTTGATATCTATGATAATGGAATAAGTAAAGATTTCTTTTGTGTAGATGATAAACCATCACTAATTTCTTCAAAAACAAAATAGAAGTGAACAAAATTTATATACACAAATAGATCTTTTGAAATATCATTTGACAAATGTCGAATGATTTGTGTGATAAAGCTGAAAAAAATACAAAATTCTGATAAAGGAGATCAGAATTTATTCTGATCTCCTTGCTTCAACCTAATTCATTTGCGTACTCATTTTTAGTGCTATTTTACTATTCTCTTAAGTATAGAAATTAATAGAAATAATAATAGAAAGTTATTGGCTACTTTACCATTCTTTTAAGTTTTTTTGTATTAATGGTTTCCAGTAAAAAGTATTGTACCTGATGAGCGGTTGCTCTACAATTATATTAGTGATAGTAGCCACAATATCACCAAAAAAGATTAAAAATATTTCGTAGATATTGGCTGTTCGCATCATTCATTGAATTAATAAATGCAACCAATTATGCAGGCAATTTCCATTTATTATCCATTTAATGCTCAAAATTTATCAATTTTTTTGTGATGGAAGAATATGAGGAAATTGCTGCAAAGCAAAAAGGCTATAAAATTTTTTTTTAGAGAAGAATGGTCATAGAGCCTCAAAATAGATTGCGATAATGATAATCTATGTCTCAACATTCAGCCTAGATTCAGTGGCTCAAAATTATTGAAGCCTATCTGTAAGATTCAACTTACAAGCCATAATTTTTTTATCCGCTCTATTCATGGAATATGCTATGAACTTAGTGTAGTGTATTCTTTATTGATAAGTAATTTTAAAAGAGATAAGATGCCACTTTTCACATTTTCTTTAAATCTTGTTAAATAATAGACTCGTTCTGCCCATCAAAAATAAGCAGTGCATCGAAATTCGTTCAAAATAATATTTATTTAATTTCGTTTTCCTCCTCGAACTTGATATGGAATGTGCTGGAAACTTAAGAATTCTATTCCAATAATCAATTATGCGAATATAGAAGTTTCATTTCATTAACTTAATTTTACGGAAAGGGTAAAAAATTTTGATCCATTGCTTCTTGTTATATTATAGTTTAGGTTGAAACCATGAATTTTTGACTATTAGCGTACTATTTGACTATTACTCTTATAGGTCAAATCTAAATCCCCATCAACCAAGATCTGATATTTTTCTAACCCGATATATCACTGGAATAATACCTTTTATATAGGATAACATTAATCGAATACTCAGTACGAAATTCAGCGAGTTAGGAAAGCAAACCGTGAAACAAAAGGCTTAGAAAGGCTTAGGCTTACATATAGCTTAGAAATGTACAATACTGAATCGCTCACGACAGAACCTCTATTTTATAAGGGGAATGTATTTTGCCGACAACAATTATCATTTATTTCGATTAACAATCGATACTACAATTTCTGAAGAAACAACCGTATGAGTACTTCAAAAGGGATAATAACGATCGACTTTGGTGATATCGAGACGGTTCCACAAAAAATTCGTCAATCGAAGAAAGCATTTCTAACTACCTTTATCCTTGTTGCAACTTCGTCTTTTGCCTGGACATTTGGAGTTAAAGTGGATCCAAGATGTTTAAAAAAAATACTTTACTTCCTCAACCAGCAATGAATCGATGAAAATAGGTATTTTGTCAGTTCCTTGCATATAAGGCGAAAAGATTTTCGCTTTATTTGCCTTAATAATTAATGACCTGTCGACAGATTGTTTAGCATATTTGTATTTCTTCATAATTGTCAAAGGACTGCATCATCAGCGTATTCAAGATTTGTGCTATGCCCTGATTGATTTGCGAACCTCATGAGTGCCGACATGTCCATTATCCAATCAAATGCATAGTAGAATATTGTGTGGGGAAGGACGTAGCTTTTACGGATAGCGATTCTTGTTTCGAAAGAGTTTCTTGTCTGTTGCAAACTTATGTCGATGTGCACTGAAAAAATGTCTTCACGATTGAATGATTTCTCTGGAATACTGTCGCATTTCATCATCCTCTAAGTGTCGTTTGGTTCGAAGGCAACTGCAAAGTCGATGAAACAAGTGACGATGATTTGCTGATATTTAAAGCGGTGTTCCTCTTCTTAGTGTCAATATCTGGTTAGCACAACCGCGCCCGGTCTGAATTCAGTTTGGTAAGGATGCATTCTGCTATCTCGTATTGTCATGAATCTATTCAGTAGAAGGGAAGCGAAAATTTTTTCATAAATATCAAATAGGCTGTAATTGTCGCAATACACCCTGTTACCTTTCTTAAGAATTGGAAGCAAAATTGTGCTGCTCCAGTCATCTGATTTTATTTTTCTTCCATATTTCTACATTTGTTGAAGGACAACAGACAACATTTGAAGAGTTCAGCCATTTTTTCCGTGAGTTTTATTGGATTTAAGCTTATGGATAACAAAAATTATTTCCTTTTCTGTTGGCGGTTTGCAGTTATAAACATATGGCTGATCAGGTATATCCGGGAAAATAGATGGCTCATCATGGTTAAATTTGGCCTCTTTCTATCTTACATGGCTTAACAGTTTTAATAAGCACACCATTATTCCTCGTATCATTTCACTGTTCCCCGAGTCTTAATAATAATTATTTTGTAAAGGAAACAGAATAGTTTCCTATTATCACCTAATCGAGCCGTATCCATTTTCAAGACCATATCGCTCCAATAACGATTTCTAGCCCGTCGAGCTTCTGTCGTTATAATTCCTCGAAGCATCCGGCAGTCAGAATCTCCTGAAATTCGTACTTAGCAGCCCTTCCGAATATTAGTGTATCCATTTGCCTCGTCGTTTGTGAAATTCTTGAAAAACATTTGAAAGGCAAAGTTTTTTCAGCCATTCAATTCCAAGAATTCGGTTTTCTCTAGCGGTTTATCCTTTTTGGTTGAATATTTTATTCATAAATGATAAGTAATGATCGAGTCGCATCAGTACCGAACGTTGGGTATCGCCATCGATTGTCTGCTGCGACTGCACTCTATCTTCCTGTATAGTTTTTCTTTCTTTTTAATCGTGATAAATAGTCTGCTTATATAAAAGTTGTCGTTATCGTTGACGTATACTCGATTTGAAAATAATCCAATCAATATAACTGCTTTTCTTTGGAAACGACTAGTAAATAAACTTGAAAACTTTAACCCTTTTTTGATCCAAAAATTGTTTGGAGTGGCTTGCGATCTGTCTGTCCGTAGTATGAACGTGCAGCCATTTAGTGAACATTGCAAAAATCAAAGCAAGCTCTTCCTGTTCTATGGCTTATGGCTTTTTCTATATTGCCAGGATAACGATGGTCCTTAGTAATTTATCATAAGAAGGCTCACATTGTTGGTATATCAGCTGAAACCAGCATCCGCTCATTGGCCTTGCTTTTGACTCGATCTGGTTGTCAACCACTTTACATTAAATATTGATGCATTTTTCCATGACTATCTGGATGAGAGAGTGAAATATCCAATTCGAAACTTAAAAATGCCCATTAGTTCCAACTTTTTTACAAATTATTGGATGTTATTAGCGTGCACAACGTTATAAAATATTTCAAGTCCATTATTTCTCGGCTTGATTTACTGTCACGCCTCGCTTTTTGTTTCGAGATTATCTTTTTAAATTACTATTATTTGAATTATATTTGCAGATAGTTCGAGCACGAACATTCGCCTCTTTGACGTTGCGAATTTTATCGCCGAACCGGCATAGTTTTCTCAGTTTGATGTTTATATAATAATAATAAAATGGCTCAGTGGGTGATGCTGGCAACTCTCCTGTATTTCTATCGCCAAGGGACTCCTCGGCATACTGCCCAATGCTACAAGCCAGTGGAGCGAGCTTAACCAGTAATGGTGAGGACTCTTTAAAAAAAATAAATAATTTATGCTTTTGGGTTCTCTGGCGTTCATACGTTTGATTTTGTAATTGATTGCATGGGCGGGCGGTTTTAGCCTTTGTTTTTCAATCATTTTGTCATTGTGCAATAGAATGATATGCCCATTGCATTCCTCAATCATCTGATGAGTCGCGTTCTGTTCGCGTTTAATTTTTTGCACTAATTTTTGCACATTTTGCACATAGCAATGTCCTTTAAGAAGATCGGACTCCCAAGTATTTTTCATATAATCATTGGATTTGGAAGCAGAAGCGAATCTTTGCTGATTCGTCCAGTTTTTTAGTTGATTTTGAAAAAGTTCGAATAATGGATTTACATATTGAATGTAAGGTTTTCGTCCAGACGGAAGTGGGGTTGGAATATCGAAATGCTTCTAGCGATGATTTTAAAAGTGTATCAATAAAATTCTGTAATAATGATAACATATGATAACATATAATTCTGCAAAAAACTTATTTTTATTGCACCGCATTTATTTTTCTCTTTTTTAAGAAAGAATTTTGCATATTTTCTAAACCAAAAAAGATTTATTGGTTATTAAATTGGTTGTCCTCGGGAATAATTTCAGCAAACGAATATTATAGCGATATAAGTATAAAATGAAAAATCCGGAAATTCTTCGAAAATTTTTTGTAGAGACAGATAAAAAATTGAAAAACTAAGAATTTATTGTTCGATAGAGTTTTCTTATTGCCTGCAGCAAATATTTATATGGTGGCGATTGAAATTGGAAATCTTCATTCATAAATCAAACCTATATCTTCGGATTTTACGGCATCTTTGGGCATTATATATAATCAAATCCCGACATTATTTTTCTTTTTCAAGCAAAATTTATCATCTCTAGTTTGGCTAACCCAATTGACTAATAGCGTCTTGAGGATATAAGCGCTGTGGAGTTGTAGTGCCTCCTAGATTTTTATTTTAATCACAGGTACAAATGGGAACCACTAAATAAAGCTCAGTATGATTCAAATATGGGAGTTATTCAATTAATATTCAGTTTTATTATTATTAAATATATTCAATCAATCAAGCAGTTTTTCAATTAATTTGATATTTCTGACCAATTCCAAAGATGAAACTTTATAGAAAAGAGGCAAATATAAACGATTAAATAGAAAACATGCATGAAAAATGGAAAAAGAAGCAAAATCAAATCACTGAAAATCAACTGAAATGCCGTTGAAAGATGGCATCTTTCAGCGATAGCAGTCACGAATGGCCGTTAATTCAGCGCGAAACGTTTATTAACAATTTATCTTTCAGTACATTTTCACGAAACGTTTGAATTATGAAAATAAATGATCGCGAGAAGAGTTTAGTTCTCGTATTAACGAAAAATAAATAGCCTAAAGGCATTGACGATGTTTTATGAGATTGCAATCATTATTGTTGAGAGGTTTTTAAAGGTTTCGAAAAGTGTTAAACTAGATTTTTATTAATTTTTATTCAAGCATTTTTTTCATAGAACATGAAAATTCACCATTTGAAAACTGATTTTTTTTCGAGGATTTTAATAATTTTTTAATTCCAAAAATTGTCGATTTGCAATCAAGCTTATATCAAGAAGAGTATCTGCTTTGGTTAACAGGAGATTTTATTCAATTCGTTTCATATTATTGACTGGCTATCTCATTCGTTGTTTTTCTTCTTTTATAGCCTCCACTGGCTTTAAGAGGATTTTTTACCAGAGTCGCTGGGTAATAAAAGTACGTGGGTAAGCACCATTCGAATTTTTCATTGGCGATTTTGCTGTGAAAGTTAACGCTCGAGGTAAAATATCTATTCGAATTCGAATCACTCGGCTATTCTCTTGAAGATTTTTATTTAATATCTTTGAATTGCTGACAAATAATCAAGAGCGATTTTAATTTGCAACTATTATAATACTAAATTAGTAAAAAAAATCAATCAAGGATTCGCATTTTGAAAGTTTATGTCGTACGGTCAAAAAACAGAACAACAGTTAACGTGGTTTCAACAGTGATGAGTAATATAATGATGAGTAGATGAGCTGCTTATTAAATGAATATAGTAATCCTATAAATTTCGGAAGGCTGTCGTCTGCTTATGCATGAGTGACTAGCCAGTCTCATTCGATAATAATCAGTGGAGTCAGCCGAACCAGAAATGATAAGTGCTCTTATATGCAGAATATAAATACAGTATTTATTTCAATAGAATGGAATTAATAGAAAAAAATTTGCTTTCCCCATTTGTCTTTTCTTTGGAAAATTGGCTTCCATTATCCGAAAGATTATATTATTGCCTGCGGCACATTAATCGATAATATTTTTTAAAATTAAATTTATTTTACAAATCTGGCTTCATGTGCTAATCTTCCGTAAATTTCGCTGTCATTAAAAAATCTTTCCCTTGCGAAAAATTTATTTCTCTTAAACGATTTCTTTCTTATCTTTCGACCGCTTTGGTATTTTCTTACTTAATTTCGGAAGAGATAAAATAGTCAAAAAAGTTCAGATTGTCGTTTTAGTTTGTGGCTTCGACAAAAATAAACTAATTAAAAAATCCGGCAGATTCTAGCGATTTACTTGTGTTTATGACCAGATAATTCCTATGCAAAAAATTCCCATTGTAATAGCTCGTGGGGAACGAGAAATGGCGATCGAAACAAGTATTTAATCTTTAAATTCCATGAAGCTTCCTTGTAATTGGAAGGTATATGAAAAGGTGCATATGATAATAATCTTGGTATCTCGGATTATCAAAATATTTGCAAGAATCTAAGAATGACAGTATGATGCGAACGAACAAATGGTTAGTCAGTCGGTCTTTGATGCTTGTTTGCAGTTAGTCAAGCTTAATAGAAGTCAAGCTTAAGCTTAGCTTAAGAAAATGATTTTTACTTCTTTATTGATAAATGCAGATATCATTGAATAATAGTTGAAAAATTTTGAAGACATGGCGTTTTAATGTAGATCATCTAATGTTTTAAATATATGAAACCTATAAATTTAAATTCATAGATTTTGACTAAAACGATAATGAGAGCCTCATCATTTTGCTAGCTCGATTTATTACTAAGTTGAAATCTTTTAACAGGCAGCCAACGTGAAAGAGGAGTAGACATATTGCGTGGGTTTCAATTTCAAAGGTAAGTTTTCTTTCGCTATCGAGTCGAACCCATGGAACTTAACTACAGTTGAGGCAACATAAATTCAGTCATCAATGACTGCTCTACACTAAATGCCACTATATAAATGAATTCTTTTGCTCTTATTTAAAATACAACCGACATAACCAGGAAGTTGTTAAGTAATAGAAAAAAGTAATTAGGAAAAAAAGTAATTTAAGAAAAAAGTTATGTTATGGAGTTATGAATTTTTACTAATTCATTCAGCTTTCATTAAAAAGGCATAATTAAGCATAATTAATTCAATGAAATAAAATATTATATGGTAATGATAGCAAATTGGTACCCATGGTGACACACTTTTCTATATATAAACGTATTAAAGAAAGAGATCAATTTAAATTCGTTTGGCGATCACCGCATACGATGTATAGTATCCAAATCGAAAAACGTCAAGAAGTCATCATACGATCAAATGATAAGACAACGTGACAAAGTACTGTTTGCTACTTCTAAAAAGAAATCAAATTACTTGAAAAAAAGTTAAGTTAAATCACTTGAAAAAAGTCAAAGAAAATCGAGCAAAAAAAAATTAAAAAAGAAATTTAAATAATTTGAAAATTGAGGAACTTAAAAGCTAAGGAATATTTATATATTCGAGAAAAGTAAAATCTTTACAGTTCTGATTTTCAATTTCATTGAAATATCTATTATATCATTGGCTATATGACGGAAGTCTTGTGGTCGGAAGACTACTGAAATCAGCCAAACCAGAAATGCTAGAAAAGCGCTCGTAGGCAAAAAAAGGATTTAAAATAAAAAGAAAGGGGTATTGACATAACTTTATCCATAGCAGTCTAAAAAATAAAACAATTAATTGCACTTACACTTACACTCTTACACTCAAATCAGGAGCTCATCATTTTTACGAATTCTTCATAATTAATCTGCAAAATAATTTATTTGAATAACTAAAATTTAAAGGCTATAATTCTCAAGCAAATTTCAATTTTCATTGTGTTCATTAGGTGTCAAAAAATTAAACGAAGGATACTTTTCATTATTATTGGATCAAATTAATCAAAAATTCGCCTATTTATAAATTTCACTACAGATTAATAATTCAAGTAAAAAAATTTGCGGACTGCAAAATGATTTTGACCAATTGATTTTGGCATTCATTTCTATAATATATTTTAAATTATATTTGCTTCTTAAGTGCTTAAAACATTAAAATTTTAAGTTTGTGGACTTTATGCAAGTAGTAATCGAAAATAATTTTGTGCATCGCTTTCATTTATAATTATAATTTATTGCGAAAAAGTAGCTTTCTATAAATTTAAAAATAAAGTTGAATTTTTTATTTTATAACAATGTACGATAAGCGATTGGTATGTACCTTCCATTGAGGTTAAGTGTCATGGATTTGAGTCTTAACAGTGAATCTCTAACTTAAAGTGAAAGCCAGATAATGCTATAGATTTATCTGTGTTCCGGACTGTTCCGGAGTGATGCTTTAGCGAATGGTGAAAGCTGTTTGAAGAAATATTTTGGATAATTTAGAGATTAAAAACCGACCTGCCCATCACCATCGATATCAACTTCAGCGATCATTTCATCCACTTCTTCATCACTAAACTGTTCACCCATGTGTGTCATAAAGTATCGAAATTCTTCGGCTGTTATAAATCCATTTCCATCACGATCAAATACTCGAAATGCTTCTCGTATCATTTCACTATCGTTCTCCTATAAACATATTATTTCGTTTCCATATAAAATTAATTCCATCAATAGTAGTCTTAAAAATTACCATAATACCGAATCCAATTTAACATTAATTCTTATATCAATTAAAAATATTAATTCTCATGCTGAGGAAAAATTTCGTAGGGATTAAAAATTTTTAGTTCTTTAAAATTCGATATTTCGCAGAAATAAAATTACTGAAACTGAGAATTTTGTTCAACCTTATTCATGCGTTTCATCATTTGACAAAATTCGGGAAATTCTATACTGCCACTTCCATCGAAATCAACTTCATTGATCATATCAAGTAATTCTTGTTCAGTCGGGTTTTGGCCCAATGTCCTCATTGCAACACCCAATTCTTTTGATGATATTGAACCATTTCCATCCTTAATGTTTTTTACTCAGTTTTTTTTCTTCATTATCCCTTTTTAAATAACCCATTTATCGTTTAAGATTTTTCTTCTTCTAACCATTCATCAGCTCTTACCATTACTGGTTAGGCTGGATCAAAGGGTCGACAATAATAGAAGCCATTCCTTCTTCCAACGTCTAACTCCATATATTGCTGGTCCATCTATATGTTCAAAATCTTTTTTGATCGTGTCTATCCAGCTCTAAAATCTTTTCTGACAGTATCAGACCAGGTCTTGATTGGCCCATCTTGACACCACCCATCATAGGATTTAGCAAGTAACGAAATATACTTCTATGATGGACGATGGAAAACGATACTGTTTGCTCTAACCAGCAAACGCGAAGCTCTTTTATAACATTATTAATGCAAGTGGTATATCGTCTAAGATATTTAATTTTTCCTTCTCATCTTTTTCCTTCTCATTTTTATTGCCTCTGGAAAATTTTTCCTTCAATTTATTGCAAAGATGATGATGGAATCTGGCAAGACTTCAGTCAAACCATCTAATCATTTTGGGATAAAAGAATGTTGAATAAAAGGCAATGCACAATGCAAAATTTCTCCCTAAAGAAATCTTCAATTCAAAAAAACAATGCATATATCTTCGAAAATTTTAGCTTCAAATTCTTTAAATTTTTTTCGACTCTTTATTTGACGTTTTGACGAATGCTCGATAAGACGAAACCATGTTGAATTCTAGGAATATACATACAATTTTTATTTTATGTAACTTTACAACTGTCATCAAAAATAAAATTTTTAAAAAAACCATAATTTAGGAAATTTTAAATGATTTGGTTTTTCCAAAAATATTTCTTAAATATATAAATCATTTGGACGCATCAGTTTTTTTCGACCGAATTTTATTAAATAATTTTTCTTAAAAAAACCAAGAAAAATTGGATATCATTCATTGCAACAACTAAGCTGCTAAATTTTCTTTATAGTAATAATCAGGAGAAAAAAATTTGAAAACAGATTTGCAGATAGCGCATGCCATTGAGAGAGATTTAACGGTTAGAATGAGAAAGAGATTCGAACTTTTAATAATTTTATAAATCTGATGTCTTAATCGACTTACGAAAAAATAAAATTAACTGTGAAATAATATTGAAAACAAAAAATTTCCTTATCCTTAACCAAAGCATGTATGAAAGGCATATTTCTGAATCTGACTCTTAATTAGAAACTCTTAAATTGAGGACAAAGAAATTGAAAGGTATTTTATAAATTATATAAATCAAAATTGTGATTAAATTGTCCGCCGATTCGAGGCACCAGAGTGGAAAAATAAAAAAGAATAAAAAATTTCATAAAATATTATAGCAAAATAAACTATTATCTTCAACTATTATCTTCAAATTAATATCGGAATCCACTAATTATTGCTTATGGATCTATGGATTTTGATTATAAAATATACTGACAATTTGATTCACTTAAGTGAAAAATTCGATGACTATAAAAAAATTTATTTAAAATACCTCCAAGAATTTCTTCTCAAAAAAATCTTCACCGCTGCGCTATAATTTAGTCAGTAAATAATCAAGTTAATCTAGTAAGTTTTAAAATAAAATGTAAATTTTCCTTGTTTTAAATCTTTTAGATATAGAAAGAAAAATGCCTATAGAATTATAAATCAAGCCAATCAACTACGTTGTTATCGAGGACAATGAAAGCAGAATCTCAAACAATTATCAATGATTCCTCGCGCTAACGTTTTCTCCATATTTATCAGCTCATTATCACTTTTTTCAATAAATTACACATTAATTATTAAAATTTTTTAAAGCAGATCCCATTTGTAAAAATGTAAAATCGTCGTAAATGATCAATTTCAAACAGAATTTAGAAATTTTCTTTATACTCAACGCTTTAAAAAATTGAAGCTTGAGAAATCCGCAAAGAAAATTCCATTCGTTGGAGTAATATCAATAAATTCGGAAAATCATTCAACATAATCCGCAAAAAGATGTAAAACATTTAAAAATAAACTAGCTCAAATCCACTGTGCATCCATTCCATCCATTTTCATAAAGCTCTTAATCCAAAAAAGATTTTTCAGTTTTTATCGAAATCAATATGGCGTTGCTCGATCCATGCAATCATTCTTTTTTTTTCCTTCAGCACGAAGGTTTAACTGCCTAGTTTGCATAGCATGACATTATTCCGGTAGTGAATCAGAATCACTTGGAGAAAGATTATTCAGTTTGCCGGTTTTGAGCCAACCGGATTTCAATCTTAATGAGAGATTTATTCAAAGTCCATGCAACATATCACAACAAAATATAACTAATTCGTAAATCTAAGTCTTTTTAAATTTGTCATTCATAGTAGCATTAATTAGGTTAAAGATTTCGTTAAAAATTAAGCAGAAAAATATTTATATCAGAAAATTTGAAAAAGTTCAAAACTATTTAGAACTATTTACTTCATTTTTTCTTCTTTGCAACCTCATAAATGTTTCTCATATAATTTTCAAAAATAATCTATTTTTAATAAATAAATGGTCAAATCATTTATTTTAATTATGTTTAAGAACTAAAACTTTGATAATTTTCGCTGCACGGCAGCAATTGGAATTTTATTGATTGCACTATTTAGCCACTTCATTCTCTAACATTTTAATTTTGCAAATTCAGAAACCAGACTATAAGCAAAATTAAGAATAGCCCGCTTTTTGGCTTTTTTGCATAGCGATTGGAGATGGATTACAGAATTCTAGAAGAATATCCGAGCGGGCAAGTGGATCAAGTCGTTTTTTAAAATGAAATTTTAATAAGAAAATATGGAATGAAAGAAACGAAATATGAATCCTAGTCGATTGTACATATTTAGTTTTCTTTGATTTTAATGATGATGAAAATCATCATTAAAAATCTGAGATTTTTTAGACCAATCTTATGAGATCATTTATTTATAGTTGGTTGATTTTTGACATCCAAACTGATGTCAAAGTGAATTTTAAATATTATTAAAAGATTAATATTGAAATTGCATGGAATTAATCCTGGACAAATTCTCTTTTTATTTTTGCTTCTGATTTTCTCACAATTTTCCGCCTAAAGGAAATTTTGAAGGTGATTTTTCAAAAACTACTCGTGAAACAAAGGGGGCAGAAAGCTAAACCACTTACCACTTTTACCACTTTTCTACTGTAATTTTTTAGTTTTTGGTTAAATAAAGCATAAAAAATGGCTGCAAAAATACAGTTAAAAGAAACAGTTAAGAGCAGTTTGAGTGGTGAAGTGTACGAAACTTATCGCTTTTTTCTAATTGTTGCTTTAATCAACAGGTAATTAACATTTGTTCTTTCCTATGAAGTTTGAACCTTGTATAGTTTCTGTGAAATCCAATAATGCTAAATTTAAAATCTATATTTTCACTACTAGAACTATTATAAATAAAAATGATTTTAATACTGAATGAGTAAACAGAAAATATTTTGGCCAAAAAAAAATTTTTTCAATGATAAACGAAAAAAAATTTCTATTGTTTTCATCAGATAAATGTTGATAAATCGATGTTTACAAGAAAGAAACAGATTAACTGAATTTAATGAAGGAAATAAATCATAAATGTTTGCAGAGTAAATAAGAAAAATTGTTTAAATAGTAGTTGTTGAAGAATAATGAACTTAGTGGACTTTTCATCTTGGTACCCTCTTATAGCATGGACAACCTCCAGTTAGAAAATCAGGATTCAGTTCTAGAGCTGGGATGCTATAAAAGGAGAGAAGCAAATATTTTAGACAAAATGGAAAAAAGATTAAATTGGAGAATTTTTACTGAATAAACTAGATGGAAAAAGAATTATTAATGTAAACGAGGCACCTTAATAATTCGCACGCACTGTGATCCCCTGCAGTGAACAAGTGAATAAATATAGAAAAAAAGAAATGGAAGATTTAGGATTCTTAACACACTGATGTTTAAACTAACTAAAAACTATTGAGAATAAATAAAAACTTTAAAAGAATTCTTCTTATAAACTAAAGAAAATTTTGAATTTAGCTAGAAAGTCACATGGGTAGAAGCAAAGGTGTGCAGGTGTGCTGTACTGTCAGCATTCGGATTTTTCGTTCTTGCTGGAAACAGTCGAACCGCTGCTCTTAATGGCAATCAGCTGCCAATAACTTGGTAAAGAAATTTTATCGGAATTCTTGTTTTACTTGCTTCGTATGAGTAAAGTTAGACTTTAAGATGATTGAAAATTTATACCTTGTCAAACATTCTGAAAGCTTCTCGATATTCAATAATTTCTTCTTCACTTACACCTTCCAAGTGTTCATTATTTGTTTGCTGTTTCCATCGATTAAATAAAGACATTTTACGACTGTTCGACATGATTTTTTAGCTACGATGTTAGTTGGAAATACAATAAAAAATAACTAAAAATTTTTAATGTGCCAAAAAAATCATCAAAAATTTGTGCGAAACTCGTAAATCCCTTATTGCCGTTGTTAGACCAATCTGCAAATCATTTATAAAATTTTATAAAAATTACTTTGTTTCTTTCAAAATCGAATTTTGATATAGGTAGTTGTGATGAATTTACAAAATTTTGAATGAAAATGAAAGGCAAAATAAAAAGAAAATTTAAAATTCTATCATTTTTAGATATAGAATTGGATCGAGGAGTTTGGAAATATGTCACTCTTATAGCCAACTTAAACGGTACTGGTGAGAGCTGCTCAATAAAATTTTTGGTCACCTGACGCATATTCAATGAAATGAAGAAAAAACAATAGCCATAAAAAAATCCAAGCAATTATGATTCTAGGCAATAAATCAAAAGCTTTGCTGGAAACAATATTATTTCCTGGAAACTCACTGAAGTATATTAATATCAAACAATTAAATAAGCAAATAAGCAACATAAAATAAATCTACAATACAAATTTATAAATTTATAAAAAACCTCAATTTTAGAGATTGTGGGCTCCACAATCTACTGAGTTATTTCTGAAAGGAAATACCACAAGTAAATACTATATAGTCAAAGTAATCCAGGAGATAGAAAGTATTGTGGGTATATGCTATTAATTTCAATATTACTATAAACCATGAGTGCTCAGGTGAGGAACAATATCGACCCTGCGAAGAATCTTTTTAGGATTTTACTATCTAAATAATTTTATTTATAAATATTCTCCGTTTTACTATTAAAATATAATTTATCCAGAAAAATTGTTCTTTACAAATGTCATTAAAATCTCCTAAACATGGTACTTTGCATGATCGGATCACATAATTGCTCTCGAGACTCTCGAGTTGCAAAAGACCACTATTCGACTCCTTTATTCTCAAGACAATAAATAATCTGAGCAGTGGTCACTCGGCTATTTTACCTACGCCCAATGCAAATGAATTATGAATTCCATCAGACTTTACGTTGTTAAACGTTGCGAGTGAAAATATAATAATGGATAGATTATTTAGCTGAAAGAGTGAGTAATGGATTGGCAATACCAGATGAGAACGCACGTAACATTATTTCAATT